AGTGAGTTGGTCAGTCAGTCGATGTCGGACGACCGTTAGTTGGATATTAAAGTATCAGCTACCACAACTAGATTGCTGCATCATTACCTATTATATCAAGTTCCTAACGTTTTGTACATCGAACCTATTTTAGGACCGGCTTAGTGAAATACAAGCCTCCACTGTGAAAACTACTCTACAACAGAAACCAAACTAGTAACATTTCATCTCCACAGAACAGACCCTGAATTGTCTTCAGTCATCATGAACAGTTGTATTCTCAATAAGGTTCCTTTTCTTGAACGTCTGTGGGGATTCAAGCTTAAACCAGACATAAATGAAACTTGTATATATGATCGCTTGCTAAAGACTCCGTGTGCCACTCCAGAAAGTACCTGACTCCTCTCTGTCTTAACAAAAGGCTGTTCCTCTGTTGTACCCTTAAAGAGGTTATAAACAGACAAAGGTGGTACTCCAGTGAAGGAACAGCAACACACACGTAGATGAAAGAAGAGAGATTTATCGTAAAAGAGAATTATCATTAATATGATAAAACTTTCCATTTGTTACTAAATTGTTTATTCTTTATTTTCATATATAAGATATAAACATTAATTGTTTATTTTTTATCTTACGACTTTGATAATGAGTGGCGAAAAAATTGCAATTAGAGCCATATTATGCTAACCATGGAATCAAAGACCAAGTGCACGGGCAGCAGCAAAAGAAATTAGTGATGTCGAAATGCCCAGAAACTGTCAATGAACGTGTGGCACAAAACTAGTTCAGATGTTTCAAGGAAAGTGAGAATAACCTTGAAGACAAACCAAGATCAGGTAGACCTTCTGTTTTGGATGATGACGTCTTGCTTGAAATAGTTGAGCAACAGCCAATCACAAGCACTTGTTGTAGACTGGCAAATGTGTCTTAGGTATCAGAAGGTTATTTTATCAATCAGGTCAATGATGTTGGTGTTCTTAAACATTCATCCACAACAAATTTAGAAACATGAGTATTGAAGACAAATCATTCAAAATAAATCAGAGCAAAAAACGTAGTTAAAGGTATAACAATAACATGGATTTATATAGAATAAAAATACACAATTGAATCAAAGGTTGTTGAACAGGTGTGAATGGTTGAGTTGAATTATGTAGTGTATTTACACCAAGTTTCAGTGTTCGTGGATGTCATGGGTCCTTACCTATAACTACAGAATGAACTCTTCCTAACACTATGTATACTATGCCTCTCAAGAGAGAGGGTCGAATTGAGTTGAGCCAATAGTAGTTCACTCCAAACCAGACTGACAGTCATACTAACACCTTCCACATCTTGTATTATTATTTCATGTAATATACCTTTGTTATTTCTACTCTTGTGTTCGTGTTGTTCTTCCTTGGTCCTAACCTGGACTATAACAGTGAAACTGTTATTAAGGTTTGTGTGTGAAATTAAACTAAGTGATTGTTTACGTACAAAAATGTCTCTTGTGGCAGTTCAGTTAATTGTGCGTATGTGTGTGTTTGTTTGAATTAGTGTCCAAAACTGGTATGAGTTGTGTACCTTTAGTTGTTTTGATGTTTGATTGAATGTTTACGAATACTTATTAGTAGTGAGTTATTATCACTTTTTAGTAATGTAAGAAATTGTTCCTGGTAGAGCAAAATGCTGCGTGTGTTGAGTCAGAGAAGTTTGCACGGCAAAAATGTAGCTGGTTATGATTTTGACTGGTGTGGATTAGTTTGGCATTTCTCGAGGATGAAATTCTGACTGCCGTACTTGTGTGAGTATTGTAATGATCTTTAACATCTGACTGCATGAATAAGACAGGCGCTCTTGAAGGTTACATTTTGGTAGCAAGAATGAGACACAAAAGAGACTGAAGAGAACACAAGGGAGCTTATTCGTGTTTTGTTTATATATGGCTGGGTATCACGTGATCAGCTCAGAGCATATTGAGCAGGAAAACAGATTTGTCACGTGCAGGCGGTTTGATTGGTCGGAACTGACCAATCAGCAGGCTCGTTTTGAGTAGATTAACCAATGAATGTTTGTTGCATGATTTGTATGTATGTGATGATAATTACTACAGGGGAAGAGTACATTTTCCCTGCAGGGGTGACTAGCAGACGCGGAACATTCCACACACTCATGCATTGTCGGCAGAACTTGATCCTTCACAAAGCACCATCAATCAACATCTCTATAAGCATGGCCTTGTGAACAGACGCTGTTGAGACGTTCCTCATGATCTGGTCAAAGAACATGTGCAAATATTGCTAGTTCTGGTAGTATTGAATGTTATAAGCCATTTTTCATCCCATTGAGCTGTTAGAGCCAAGTCAGAGGAGAGATCAGCTGCCAAGCTCTGGCCTAAGATATTCGAAGCTGTACACATGCTCTTAGTATCATCTGCAAATATATTTACTTGAGAATTGAGAATCTTCTTAGGCAGATTGTTAATATAAAGTAGATAGTAGGCAGAACCAAGGAGAGAGCTTTTAGAGCTTTTTTGATCTCATCATTGTAATATTGTCATTCAATTAACAGTTATCAGCATACAAAATTTGAATATTTAGTAAGCATAAGCATGAGCATATATATTTAATCTATAATACAATATTCTTGTCTGACCCTGAAGAGTGATAACAATGCAAAACTTTTAATTGGTCATAGATAAATATTGTGAACTTTTTATTTATTGATTAATAATGTTATTTACCAAAGTTAGTCTGGCACACACACACACACACATATATATATATATATATATATATATATATATATATATACTAGCAGTAGAGCCCGGCGTTGCCCGGGGATGTAACAGTAAGAGATAGATCAAGTATCGACCATCATAAAGACTGAAAAATAAAATTGACAAAGATTATTGTTTAAGGTTGATGGACACGCATGTCTTAATTAGTTTTTTTTGTTTTGTTTTGTTTTTTTGTTTTTTTTATGAATTGGTCAAACCCGAACTCAAAGAAAAACATTGTTTTCAATCGTTATGAGTCTACCGATTGAATAGAATTTTATTATAAACAATTGTCTTGTAAATGGAATTTTTAAAGCATTCTGAATGTAAAAATAAAGAAAAAAGTATGCAAGACAATAAGAAACACTACCTACCAAAAGAAAAAGTGAAGTTTTGTTGAAATCAGTTGAAAAATGTAGGAAATCTGATCCCATATATAAACGAACACACACACACAAACAACCTGTTTTTTATAAGTAAAGCTCGATATGAGTTGTCCCCCTTTCATTCTCGCAACAGCAATGCCTCTTAATCGTGTTTTCAAATTGATTTTGTGCAAAAACAATTGTGTTTTTCCGATTTTTGGCACTGTCAGAACCGGCGCAAGGTAATTTTACGTAGTCCTATGAAGTTTTGTTGAAATCGGTTGAAAAATGTAGGAAATCCGATCCAATATATAAACGAACAGACACACACACACACACACACAACCTGGGTTTTATAATAAGTATGATATATATATATATATATATATATATATATATATTTATATAAAGAGAGCACCCTGTAGGAATTAAACAGTTTTGCTATCAAAATTTGTGAAACAAGCTTATTATCAACCTGTAACTAGTGCCCAACTAAGTTTTATTTAGTCTGACACAAAACCTCAATAGTGGGGCATCCTATAAGAATTGAATAGTTTCTGTTCTAAAAATGTTGTGCATCCCCCTTAAGCATTATCCCATAGCTACCAACCTACAGATATTTTCTAAACTTCACTGATTGGTAAAAGGCCAGTTTTAATGAGGCTTTATTGGGGACTAAAATGCAAGTTGAACTTGTTAATTTTTTATCCCTATTTTTATTTTATTTATGAAAATATATTTTTCTCTCTTTAATTGCTGTGTCTCTTCAGGAAGTAGATGGTCAAGGCTCTCCACAACTTCTTTTTGATTTTAACATATTTAAACTGTGCATTGCACTAACTATTCTTCAGATAGTGAAATTGATCCCCTTTGATTTTTTCTTATTTTTCATTTAGGATTTCCCTTCTTCCGGATTGTTTATCAACCAAGGCTAGGGAGTTTAGTCTAACTTGCTATTTAACCCACAGCTAATTTTATCAACAATAAATTCTCAATTTCAGTTCCTCTTTATAAATATCATTTATTTATTTTTAACTAATGAGTTGCCCACCATATGACAGTTTTGTAATGTAGGGAATATTTTTTTGTCATTGTGGGTAATAGCAATTGTCTATTTTGGTCATCCATACTTCAGCCATCCCATGCGATGCTTCTAAATTTAAGCAAGCTTTTACCACATAAAACTAAAAACTTAATATGACATGTTTTGCACATTAAAAGCAACTCACACTGGCTTTTATAAATAAAGATGACTTGATAAAATGGCAAAGAATGATCTTAGTGTATAAACCATCTTATCGATTTGATTTTATTACTAGCTTACCAATGCTATTAAAAAAAAATGACTGCAATAATAGCTCTGACTCTTGGTCAACAGCCACCAATGAACATATAAGAAAGAAAGATCTTGATGAGACACAAACTCACATCTCTTTACCTCAGATAGCTGGGCTTACCATATCAGCTGCTCTATCAATTGAGCTACAAGCACCTGTGATTTGTAGAAGACCAAATCTAACTATTTAAAGTCTCTTCATTTTTACCTGATCAAGTCATTTTGGTTTCATTTTTGTACATTTCACACATTCATTACTTACAAGTATTTCATTGATTGATTGATTGATTGATTTTTTATGGCTTATCAACCCTTTGCAGGTTATTTAAAGCTAGGAAATATTTTTAGATTATAAGAATATTTATTTTTTGAGATAATAATGATTTAATGATACAAGTCTTAGTAATTAATCCATAGCTATGGAGATATTAGGTAGATTCATACCATTCCCAAGAGCATTTGCACATTAGTGACTATAACGAACCGAAATGAAATTGAAACTTGACTTGCCGATTAACAATTCCGAGTCATTATCCATTGCACCACCTGCACATCTAAGCTTACAGTACCTGGTATTCCTAAGCAGTCACCCATCTAGGTACTGAATGGGCTTGATGTTGCTTAACTTCAGTGATCGTATAGGGACCAGTGTTTTATAAAGAGTGAATGTGGTCTAGTGTCAAATTGATTCTTATATAATGATCATTAAGTGACAAACTCTTAAGCAGAAATCAAATTTTTTTAAGAATTCAAAATTTATTAATTTTAATAAAAAGGTGAATGAAGGTAGTTTTATGGCACATCAACTCCAATATAGTTGTCATGTCTTGATGTAAATTAAATTTTTATGTAGATAGTTATATTTTTAATAACAATTTTCTTAATTCTAAAATTCACTCAATACAAGGCTCAAGAGGCAGTCAAGGTAGAGTTTTACTGTTAAAATGGTTATGATAAATGAGGTGTGATATGAATGAAAGCGATGATGTTAGGAAGTGAAGATCATGCGGATAAACAGGATCTATAATAAGTGAATAGATATATAAAATAAGAGGAGGTTATTTTGCTAGAGGCAGGCTTTAAATCTTATTTTACCAGTTTCAGTAAAATAGACCCCCAGATTATTTTGCTGGTAATTATTTTTATTATTTTGAAGGCAGATAATTTTAAAAATAATAATGCACAGATTAAACTCAGATATTTATTTATTTTCACTATCAAGTGTTGAAACAATTCAAAATCTTTTCCACCATCAATTGTTAAACTTCAAGTTAAAATCACTTATTCATCATTAAATATTAAAGGAAATATAAAAGTCATTGAATATTTTAAGCACTTCAGGTGTAACAGTCTCTGCAAATCCAAAACTTGTCCTTGGACATGGTTCTTTTGCCAATACACTTCAGGTGCACCCACTGAAGACAACAATCACAGAACACAGAAATCACGTTGTTCAAGTCCTGCCTACACAGCTCACACAACCACTGCGCTTACAATTTCAAGGCTCCATAAACATGCTAGAGCTGTAGCAATTGTTCTGCTGGCTCTTTTCTACAACTGCACATTGTGTGTTCATAACTTTTCATTTTTTCTTTTAGTTCTGCAAAAGAGTTTTATGGCTATACTGAATGAATATTGTTTTATGAATATATATATATATATATATATATATATATATATATATATATATATATAATAAAAAAAAAGAACAGTAAGATGTATAATCCGGTGTTCTTACAGATATTTTTATTTTTACAAAATAGTATTCGCTTGAGGATGAAATGGAACTAATGTCTTTAATTTAATTACAAAATTAAATTCGGGGCTTTTAGCTTCCATTTTTGAAACATGGTTAGAACTGTGTAGTGGAAAAAACCATATTTTAAATCAATTAATTTATAATATATATATATATATATATATATATATATATATATACAGTACTGAACTGTACTATATATATGTGTGTGTGAGTGTGTATGTGTGTATGCATGTATATATGTATGTGCATACTTATGTCTCTCCATCTCTCTTTCACTGTAAGACCACATACATATATAAATACTTTTCAACTCTGTTTTACGGTGCTGCGTTAATCCATTCTCTCACACACACACACACACACACACACACTCTCTCTCTCTCTCGCTCTTACTTTCTGTCTGTAAATAAATATATATTGTTATATATGTGTGTGTGATATATTCTTAGTTATAAAATACTATTTATATTTACTGATAAAATAGCCTTGTAAAATAGAAACCAAGGCTATTTTATAGGGATCGGCAAAATAGCCTATTCATATAAAATAAGTAAACATTTCCTATGAAAAAAACCTATATTTTATGCCTTAAATTTATTCATCTTTTTTTCTAGTATGTGAATAACATTTTGCAAATGTGGCTGTTGTTGATGTATAAAATAGCTAAAATTCATCATGTCCAAGCTTTCGACTCACATGAGTCATCATCAGGAGTATGAGTCAGAAAAGAAAATCAAGTGTATTCTAAGCAGTACATTGTTTTACAAATGTCATTATTTTTTGTTTAAAAGCTAAATTCAGTGTGGCAGAATGTAGTAAGTGATGTGTCAGCGACATGTAATGATGTGTAATTACTTATCTATTTTAATTTTCATATGCATTGAAGAATGCAGGAATCAGTAGCCACTTGTCTGTGACCAAGATGAGCCTTTGAGTTAGAAGACATCAGCTGTTGTTTGACTTGGGGAGAGATGAGCTCTACCAGGTTGTCTTACCCAAGACATGCTACTCATGAATGAATACTTCTCCAGCTTTCAGCCCAGATATTTGCAGGGAACTACTAGGCTGCTCAGCTATACAACGACTCTATGACTACATCTGGACAACTCTATGACTACATCTGGACAAGAGGATGATGGTGATGATTATGATGTTTATATTTTTGAGATGAGCTAGTTTCAGCTGTTGTATGCTCCGACCTTCTTCAGGATCTGTCTATATTTCTGAGATGATGTATTGTAACTACTTACACTATTTCCATTGTTTGGACTGTTGTCCTCATCTTTATTGTCATATTCATGATGTTTCAGCTGTTGTATGCTCCGACCTTCTTCAGGTGATATACATTGGAATTTCAAACCAAACCCGTTATTTCATCCACTACAGCAGATTGTTCTAGTTTCTTTTCTGGATATATCAGTTTCAGTCATTTCCTTTTAGTAACTCAACTCTCTAAGTTTTTGTACACCTCTGCTGAACTAACAATACTTTGGGTTAATTCACTGGATTACATCAACCAATGCTTTTATCGACTGGGCCATGTGTCAAATTTCCAAATTATATCACCTGATGAAGGTTGCAGCTACAATGGCCAAAACAATGTGAATATGACAATAAAGATGAGGACAACAGCCTGAACAATGTGAATAGTAGGTAATTATGATGTTGAGACATTTAATAATACGGGGTCTTATTTTTATACATGTTGATATATTTTATATATCAAAAACAGTTACATTTGTGAAATGCTATTTTCATACTAGAAAAGAAGATCAATAAATTTACAAGATATAAAAAGTCTATTACATTTAATAAAATATGTTTACAAGAAAAATTGCCGGCAAAATCTACTCAATACATAATAAGATAGATAACAATCAAAATTCAAAATATATATGAAATTCTAATTTTATTTAGTTGTAATGACCAAAAGAAGGATGGATTGGTTTTATATTTTGTTCAATGTTCAACTGGAATGATATAAGAAAAATTAAATTTCGCCATTAAATGACCCACAGGGAATTGATGTGCCATTTAAACAAACAAATCAAATCAAATTAAAAACTGATGATATTGATAAAATAATAAATAAAAGTATATTCTAATGTTTTTTTCGCATGAAAACAATTAAAATTTAAAATATGGATGTCAATAGTTCTTCACAAGGAGAGTTGAAAGAAAACTAGAAAAAATTAAGAAAAATGTGAAAACGAAGAAAAATGAAGAGTAAAAAACACAATAAAAAGTTTTAAAAGGAATAAAATTAATCCATGAAAATAAAATAATTTAGTTACAGAACTGTAAATAATAATAATTATGAAGAAAAAAACTGTAAGTTATTAAAATAAAAATTAAGAGAAAAACATTCAAAATAATGAGAAAGAAAAAGTTGTTTTTATTTTATTTTAATCAAGACAAAAAGCGACAGAATGGAAAATAATTAAGTTTAAAAAAAAAAGGTTAAGTAAACAAAGCGAAAAAGAAAAAGTAAAGAAATAAAAAAGGAACGCTTTTTCTCAAAAAGACAGAAGTAAAAAGTAAATAAAAAAGATTATTTTTATTTTGCCTTCTGGTTGGCCATTGGAATGATTTTCATAATCCAATGGCCTTTGACAAATAACCAGAGGGAGGAACTTTTATTTAAGGAAGATGAGGGTGATATAATCTTATTATGTACCCACCTATTATTTTATTCTACCTGATTATTTATTATTCATTACTAATAAAAAAAATATTAGGATTCCGATTAAATGTAGAGATTTTTCTAGTAACATTCCATTATTTGAGACATTTAATAAAAACAATCTTTGAAAGTTTGACGAAGGAAGATAATCTGCAATTTTTTTTTAATGTTTTTATAACATTTATCTTTCTCGTCGTGTTTATTAGTTTATTCAATTAAAAAAAAAAGAATTCTTTCTTTACAATTCAAGAAAATTAATTAGTCATTAATTTGTATAAAAAAAAAGGTTGAGAAAAGTAAAATAACCGAACTAAAGGTTAATTTTTAAATGCAAATAAATGGAAATATAGTCTCATGGTCCGAATAAAATAATTGAATAAATAATTGTTACTATTGTATTTTGTTTGCTTTTTTTACCATTTGATCAAAAATAAAGTTGTATCCTTGGGAGAGATGGAAAAATAATTAAAAGAAAAGTCTGGTTTTTAGCAACATAGGGAAAGAGAGAGGAAGAAAGACGAAAGGAGAAAAAAAGGTGGGGCTTCAAATGTAACTTTAAAATCCTTTGTAGGCTTTCCCTACTTTCATCTTTAATTTAATGACAAAAAAACAGGAAGTAGACTAGTGTGTATACAAAAAATTAAAATCCATAAATGAAACCTACAGATTTGTATACATTTTTGTTAAGAGTAGACTTTGTTTTATACGGATCAATAGAGAACGCCGGTAAAATAGTTAGATATTATGTGTAGATGAACTGTGTTTTTACACAAGTACAGACCTGGAAAAGGATGGGTGTACAAACATTGGTGTAGGGCCAGCCCCCTCTGGTAATTTTAACCAATCAGAGTGCCGCCTGTTCGTTACTTCATTTCCAGCCGGAAGCCGCACATGGGAATTCTCATGCTTATTGTTGACAATGAATGGCAGTGGTTTCTGTTTGGAGAACAAAGGATTTTTAAGGAGAAAAAAAAAAATTTAGCGATTGCTAATTCTTCGGACATCTGACAGAAAAATGTTCAATATTAGGTAAGTACGAATATGATTAAAAAGAAAATTAAAAATGTGCAAATAATTATTCTTGCTATAATTTTTTTTCATTTAAAAATTGTTTCCAATATTTTTCGGTTTTAAAAGATTTTTTTTAATTAAAAAAATATTGTATATTAATTTTTTTTTTTTTCGCCGAATACGGTTGTATTTATTTATTT